TTTGAAGGATTTTAATCGTATAGAGTGCTTTCCCTTTTTTCACCCCTTTTGGGGGGGTTTGTATCCCACAGACGGCACTGCATGTTGAAAACAGAGAGCCACCAAATGATAAGACATGTATTACATTCTGGTCATGTGAGGAGTTCACAGGCAAAAAGTTATTAATCGTCTCTCATGGCTTCACTGCTTCTTGTCCTCTCTCCAGGGGAAATAGCACAGGCCGTGTTTTACTCGCTTTTCCTTTCTTTTCTCACGTCTGGCAGTTTTTTAAAAAAAGCTGTCCCATGCGTGTGCTGTGTGTGTTTTTTTGCTCTTCCACTTCACTCTCATCACTTACGTCCAGATGGATGCCAACAATGGCAATAGAACCTCCAGCCTAGGAAATGTCATCTTCCTGTCCACTCTGTTGTCCCTTTTAGCCAGCCGGTGGGACATTAGACATAGAGTTTGTGATTTTTATGGGTGAGTTTTTTTTTTTTTTTAGGGGACACAGAATGTGAGCACACACACTCTTTTAGCGGTGTGTGTGTGTTGTGTTGTGTGGTTGTAGTCCTACAAGGTGAGTTTTATAAGACGGGAGGGACGCAGGAACCCTCCTTCACCTTGAGACTGAAGCGGAAAGTAGCGGGGAGGGGCAGGCGAAGCTGTCTGAAAAATGAGGAGGGAGGGAGGGTGGGGGGGGACAAAGATGGATATGAAGGCAAAAAGAGGAGGTGAGAAAGATGGAGGCAGAACGAGAGAGAGAAATATAGAGTGAGTTATGTAACTACAAGGCATCTGTGATGTCAACTGCTCTGTCTTCACTGGAACCGACGCTCCTTTGAACATGCAGCGATGAGAGCGCTAAACTGAACACATATTTCTCTGCATATTTTGACAGAATCTGGTTGTATGTGTTGCAGCTGACTTTAGACATGAGAGAGAACAAGTCGCGTTCACCTGAGTGAAAACATTTACTCAAGCACTGCACTCATATGCAGTTTTGAGGTACTTTACTTTAGTATTTTCCATTTTATGTTGTATACATCTGTTCGACCACATTTCAGGGAAAAAATGTTGCCGTTACCACTTGTTATGCAGGTAAAGATATTACAACAGAACATATTGCTTACGAGTGAATGTATCAGTAGTAATAATACAAGTTAACACTGAGAGGGGTATTCTGCATGATATATACTTTTAAAGGATAATAATAGTTTAACACCACTTGTATTTTATTATTATTACTTACTTCCTTTCATTAACAATATCACTGTACACAAGTTAATTGCTGCAATCTGGAAACTCATGACATTGCATGAGGTGTGCCAAACTTATCTAGAAGAAATGATTAAATCTCATCTTAGTTTAAAGATCAACTTCCTTGTTCAATTCTGACCAAGTGATCTTGCTGCAGTTCTCCTTTACAATAAGGGATTGCTGCCAACAGTTTGGGTACTCTTAGTTTTGTTTTTACCTCCAAAATAAGTATTTTAAATAAATAGGATAATAAAAAGATAGTTTAGCTACTGCCACGATTGGATGGTCTGACTACTGTTTGTTGCCCAAGATCACTTTGATGTAGCAATGCTGCCATGTTCTAAAATCCCAGCAATTACTTTGTTGAGCATAACATTATCAGAACTGATAGAAATCATTTTCACAGCTGTGAAATAAAGACCAAAAAACACCCCCAAAAACTACAGGTATTCTTTAAATTTGATACTTAAGTCGTTTTCTAAAAATACTTGTTTACTTAAAGCTAATTTTTGATCGCAGGACTTTTATTTTTAGTGAAGTATTTTGATGTACTGCACTAAGTAAAGTACCTTAATACTTTCACATCTAGCCTTTACTGTGTGTGTTTTCCTCCCATACTCAAAGTCCCACTTAATACTCTAACTCTCCTCCTCTTCCTCCTCCTCTCAGTCTGTTGTCCCGTTACAGCTCACAGACTCCACCCTGCCATCCTGTTAGCGCTTATCGGAGCATGGCTCGAGTCCAAACACGGACACACACGTCTACCTTTTCCACCAATCAATACCAAATTTACAGAGGCAGCTTTTCTCCCCCTAACTGAGCTCAGCTCTCAGGGGTGGCTGGTATCACCAGGCTGCGGATGTTTGAAATGAACAACACACCTCTCATATGGCTGCTTACACAAACCACCTTAAACCTGGAACACAATGTAAGTTATTGAAACTTACAAAGACAGGACTACACCACTTGTATATACTATTTCCCCCGACATACAGAGATCTTTTAGTCCTGACAGTCAGAAAGAAGCAGATACTAAACAACTGAGCAAACACAGAGGACAACGCACTGAATGGCAGGTAGACACTGATTATTGTGATTGATTATGTCACTAAAAAATACCTAAATATCTGTGAGAAATCTTCACAGACACCCTGTAACAAGGCTAAATGTACATCTCTCTCTATGAGAATGGCACGATGGTGTTGATAGCTAAATGCTAGCATCACAGTAACAATGAATATTTGCTAATTAGCACTAAACACAAACTATGTCTTTAGCTTTTATTCACAAAAACCAAAGTTTTGAAAGATTTCAAATTCCTACCTGATGACGGCGCTAAACGGATAATGAATTGATCACTGAAGTTATCACAATTGATCTCGTTGGGAACATGAATGCATTTACCAAACATCACGGTAGTTCATGTCCATGAGATATTTCAGTCTGGTCCAAAGACCAACAGCCGGACCAACAGACATCCCTAGAGCCAAGTAGCTAGCAAAGATAAAATTGTTTTATCAATTTGCACTAAAAAGCCAAAGAAACAGAGCAAAGCAATTAGTAGACTGTCAACACTAGCTGACCCAGAATGGGATAGACTTGGTCCCACGTCGGCCAATAAGTCAAGAAACCCAAATTGAAACCCTCTATTGGCCCAACAATCGTAATGTATGTCCACTCACTTATAGACCTGCAGCCACCATTAAGCACTACCTTCCCTTCAACTGGGACTAACTGGATTAGTCGCCCAACCAGATCAATAACAATCCACACAAATATCAGCACATCTCCTCTTGTGGAGAGTCCTTGGTGGATAAATAGGATTGGAAGTGCTGGGGATAAAAGCGCAATCACATTTTTGACTAATTCCTCTCTTTCTTTGTTTCTGTTTTATTTCATCATGCTGAAAGCTCTTTCTCCCTTTAATGTCTGAAGATTGAGAGACAAAGGGGAGATTCAGCGACTACACATGGGGTCTTTTGATGAAAAAAGGCAAGATTGGGAAAGTAATGTGCAATGTGTCAACAGGAAGCAGCCCCCATGTTTAATGCCACCACAAACACACAATGCAAATGTTTTCAGATCAGGTACCATTTCTCTCACTCTGTCTTGCTGCAGGCAAACACTGTCTTTCTGCTAATACCTCTTAATATTTGTTTTGTCCTGCTCAAATTAGCAAATGTGTACAGGAATTCTAGCAAGTCAGATTAAGTAAGCTGTCTTCTGAAGTACTGTATTTCAGACTTTGACATACTTTCCTGTTAAAACCATTGAACTTTCTGGTACTCACCAATAAACCAATCCATTGTCTACAGAAGCACAGTCATGCTAGCATCTCTGCAAGTACAGTAGGTACTTTGATCTGAATGCTAACTTCAGTCTGCTAACACGCTCACAATGAAAATGCTAACATGCCAATGTTGTACTGTACAGGGTTTACCATATTCACCATCTACATGTGTCGTTGATGTTTGCTAATTAGCACTAAGCGTAAAGTACAGTTAAGTCTGATGTGAATGTGATTGGTTTTGCAAGTATTTGATGGTCATAGATGAGAAGTCAGGGAACAACCAAAGGTTTTACAATTCATCCTGAGAGGAGCATGAATGTCTGTACTGAATTTCACAGCAATCCATCAAATGTTACAGTCTTGATTAAAGTGGTGGACTGACTTTGTTTTACAGAATTTAAAATGGAATATTTTGGAGGTTTTGGATTGTTGTTTAGAATAAATAAGAAGTTTGATGGCATCACCTTTGGGTCTTGACATTTTCCACTATTTTAACATTTTATAGACTAAACATCAAATCAAAAAATAATAATAATAAAAAGAATTTGCTGCAGCCCTACTCACCACACAGTCGTAAGGTCACACACAACTGGCACAGGTCAAAGGGAAGAGAAGAGCAATTTGAAAATACTGTTTGACTCAGGAGTACACTTGTTTGTCTGTCTCTGTGTCTGCATGTGTGTGTGTGTGTGTGCATCTGCGTACCAAATGTATTTTTAGAGAAACTCTATCCTTGTGGTTACGTGTTTACCAGGAATATGCACACAAACTCTCCCACCCTCCCCACCATGAACGTATACCACACACACAGACACACACTCAAAAAAGCAACTGTCATTTCTCATTCGTTGTCTCCGTCCATCTCCAAATCCAGTCCCTCAGCTCAGCTCCACCACCTCCCTGTCTATAACTCAGGCGATAAATCCACTCTCTCGCACACATAAAAAAAAAGACGAATGGGGAAGTGGGAAGGGAAGGTGAGGGAGAAAGAGATAGATGACACCCTCGTATATATATGTAGGCTCGTCTATAAACGCTCGCTACGTTGACATTCATCCTTCTCCTTTCTTTTTTGGTGTGCGTTTGTCGTGTGTGTGTGTGGGCGGGTGAAGGACACTCCACATCTCTCTCTGTTGAGAATAAAGAAGTCTTTGTAACCTCCAGTCTCTCAGGACCTGGGCTTTAAACACGCATATCACGGGGCTTCCTATCCACAGTGACCGGGGTTGATACACACACACCAACACTGTCACCATATAACTCCTAAAAAATACAAAAATCCTATGCTGATGAACAGAAAAATCAGCAAATTTAATGAAATTATCTTACTATGCATCTTGTCCAATCAACAGGCAAGGTTGAACTATTATATTAATGCTGTGGGGAAAGTTGTGTAATTAAAATGAACGAACATAAGGAGCAAAAAAATCAGAAGGAAAGGTAAAATAGAAGATAGAGACGCAGTACTCACCATCCTCTTTGCATTCCTCGGGCGGCTTTGCCTTCTTGGCTAGCCTCGGGTCCAGCCACGATGTTGTCTTGGTGTTGTGGCTGTGAAGAGACGACAGAGAGAGAGTGAGAGGGAGTGTGATAGATGGCGAGGGAGAGGAGACTTGGCAGAAAGAGAGAAGGAGGTTGGTGGATTCTTAATTCAGCCGGAGAATCATTTCAGTGAGGAAAGATGAGACTCTCTTGCATGCCTGCCTCTAAAAAGGTGACGAGAGAGACGGGGTGGGGTAAAAAAAGCTTTAGGTTAACAAAATGGCAATCAATACTTTTAATTTGCTTACTTAGCGGGCAGGGGGGGAGGAGGGGTGGAGATGGGGCAGAAAGGGATAGAGGGGTGACTGAGGGAGTGATGGAGGGGAACAGCTGTGAGTTTGGCAGATTCATCCCGAGCCTCGGGCAGAGAGCTGGATCTAGATCAGATATGATGGTGTGCCAGGAAAACTCGATGCATCTCCACAGCTCGTCTGAAGCTCTGGAGCCACAATGGCCTCCCTTCATGATGACAGTAAGGGAGGGGGAGGGCAGGGGGAGCTGTACACAAAGTGCCTACAGTAAAAAAAACCGAGGTGAGAAGATGAAGGAAGGGGATGCTGTAAAGAGGCCTCCTTGTGTCTTTAGTCTTTTCAATACTTACTTCCTAAAAGGAATTTTCCTTGTGCAAGTAGGCAAGTCCAATGACAAGAATAACACTCTAAATAGTATTACTAAATAAAACATAAACGCTGTGTAAAATATGAATCTATACAGACGTTAAAGCTGCATTAATTATATTTTTTGGCCAGTTAAAAGCTAAGGGACAAGCTGAAAACTCACACATTATCACTTTATAAAGTTGTCATGGTGACAGTGTTTTTAGACTGTTTTACACATCCAGCAGACACGGAGCAACATTAGAATTCATTTGGAGTCATGTTTCTGTCATCCTGACAAATTCTCGCTCTTTAGCTGCTGCAACAGATGTTCAAATGTCTTCAGCAGCCGGTTGCTAACTTTGTCCATCTGCCTGCCGTTACTGGAAATGAGGTTGATGTCAGCGCAATTTGCAGGCCGTGAAATCCAAAACAATGAGCTAAAAGAGGCAAAAAAAGTTCCATAGAGCATTAGCACCATAGAGTTTATTCTTAGTGGGACATTTCATTTATTCATTTTAAAATAAAGAAACTAAAATAAAGTTGAACTCTGTGGCTCAGAGGTAGTGCGGGTCATCCACTAATTGGAAGGTTGGCTGTTCCATCCCTGGCTCCTCTCACTGCATGTCGAAGGTGTCCTTGAGCAAGACCCACCAACCGCCGAATTGCCCTGATGCTGTGGCCATCGGTTGTATGTGAGTGTGTATGAATTATTAGTTTCCATTCTGGTGAGGCCAGTTTGAGCTACCGTTGCATGTCAGTGTTAGGAATGCGTGTGAATGGGTTGTGGCCCATAGTGCAGTACGCCATTGAGTGGTCAAAAGACTAGAAAGGCGCTATATATAAGTACAGTCCATTTACCGTTTACCATGCTAGTAGCTCTGTGAGGCTGTACTTAGCTGCATAGCATAAATGCTATACAATGATAATGCTACTATGCTCAAACTAAGCAAGTGGAAGAAAAAGTTCAAGTTGTTGTAATTCATCCCGAGTGGAACATTAATGAAGAAAAAATTGCAACGTTATCCGTCCAACATTTGTTGAGCCTTTTCAATCCAAACCAGAAATGTCAACCTTGCGGTGGCACCATGGTGTTGACGTATGTTGGTAGAAACTTACCTTTAGACCAAGACAAACAAGACAGACAGACATTGCCTAAACACAGAGATAAAAGTAGGAGACTAAGGCACAAACCACATACAGAGCCAAATAGATAAGGTAAGGTAAAGTCCTCCGCTTTGCCTCTCTCTTTTCCTCTTCCTTCCTCTCTTCTACTGCCAAATATCACTATTTATAGTATAAATATCTGCAACTACTTTTTCCTCTTTCTTATCCTCCCGCTCACCTTCTTTTTTTTCAGTCTTCACTATTTTTAATCAGTATCACTTTCTTTTCCTTCCATCTCCCTCCTTCTATGCCTCTCCTCAGCCGCCTCACTTCAAGGGCTGGAGGTAAACGAATTGATCTCGTATGGAGGCCAATCAAAGGGAAGCATCCTCTTGGCAACCACTATCCCTTTGGCACTGCATCACATATGCCCAGACACAAAAAAAAATCTTGAAGCTACAAATTCAGTGGGCTAACTGCATTAGCTGTGTAATTTGCTTGATGGATGTGAGAGCGTGAGGTTTTTCTGTTTTAAGGGAGGAGACGCACGGTGACTCGTCTGTAGTGGAGGGAAATGAAAGTATGTTTCTGTGGAAATGAAGAGGCAACATGTGCCTGGCTGGGTGACAACTGCATCACCGCCGCCTAATTTCTTAGTCTGGTGTTGCTGTGCAGCTTCTAGCAGTTTATGATGCGTTCAAGCGTGCTTGGATTCAATCAATGCTGTGGAGAAATTTAGCCTGATGACTGAAATGATCTATTGAAACAATAAAAGCTTTTGTAATAGCAGAATTATTCCCCATTATGGCTACATTAGTTGATGCTATACAAGAACTCATGTCCACATACATGCACACACTCAATTCCCTCAGCACCACTACAAAAATACACAGCAACTCCATTATTGTGGTGTAAGAAAGACTCACCTCCACAGTTTTACTGCAGCTGTAAAAGGCTAACAACCCCAATGAATTAAACTTTAGAGCTTGTATAACAGAGTTCGGTGTAGCAATGTATTTCTGGGGACCTCTAAATCTCATTAAACCACCAAGCATCAATTACGGTCTCTGTATGAGTGTGTTTCTGTGGGGAATATACAGAAGTAAATTTAGATGCTACCTGGCCCACCCGGCTTAATTTAATTTTGTTTCATGAGAATGAAAATACAAACTCACTATATGGTGGGAAACAGGCATTCACAGTGGTTGTTCTGATTCTGTTTCTCCTATACTTGAGTGGAAGTCCTTTCTCTTTTCTGTTACAGTTAGACAAAGAGTAAGACATCTTTTATTTAAAAGGTACCATGTGAAGTTTTTGACCACTAGTGGCACTGTGGAGAAATGTTTCTACAAGTAAGTCTCTGTTTTGCTTGCTATTATTATTATTATTATGCAAAAGGTTGACACGCAGTATGCATTCATTCACATTCCAACGGTTTCACTTCAGAGAATTGGCTCTGCAAATATTTTATGAGGAATGAAATGCACTCAACATGTTTGTTAAGATACACTTGATGTATTTTGGTGAATAACACTGAATGTAAACAGGAACTTTGTTTACAAGGAAACTCCACAGGGTCCTTAAAAAAATGAAAGATGCTGCAGATCATTGCTGCAATACAGCTAATGTTAATAGAAGATACCTTTCTCTGTCTGATTTCTTTTTTTTTTGTTTTATTACTTTGCACCACCCAAAGTGTTTTTTTTTACTACTTTAAACCTGCACTAATTCATATTATTATATGGCTCAAAAGAAAGGGGCCGGTCTTAGTGATAAACCTAATCCTGCAGTTTTCCCCAGCTTTAAGCTGCATGTTAGCACCTTTTAGCTCATTGTTTTAGTTTAAAACCTTTTAACGTTTTTGCTTTGGTTCACTCTCAGCAGATTGTTTCCAAATGCTGCTGTTTTCAACAACGAAGCTCTACCTGCTCAGCCACCATATTTATGGAGATCAAAAACAGAGCTAAAAGAGGAGTGGATATTGGACTTACATTTATCAGCTGGCAGTGATACAACTTTAAACGAATGCTAATGTTCCTCAGTGTCTGTTGGAATGCGTAAATATGCAACTTTATTAGATGATAATATATATATATATATATAATTGTTGTGTTTATAGCTTGTTCTGCTGCCTACAAGTGGTCATAAAGATCATTTAATACTTCTTTAAAAGTCGCTAAGAAGACTTCCTTCCATCTGCTCAGTTTGTATTTTCAGCATCATTTCTGCAGTGAGTTTTAGGAACACCTGAGTGACTAAAATATCCAAGTTTCATCAGCAATACACAGACTGACGCAATGTCCTGGAGCAGGGTTAGATGCAACCATGACACTTACTCGATGAAGTAGACCTCTCCTTTCTCTGTGTATGCCATCTCCCAGTTGTCAGGCAGTGGCCCTAGCTCGTCGTTCTCCTCTGGTTTGGGTACTGTAATTTTTGGGGACAGACCGTCGTCTTTGGGTGGCTCGGCTGGGGCCTCTGCTGGGTTGCTCTGCGGGGCGATGTCCCCCGAAGCGTCTGTGCTCTTGTCCTCATGTTCGCTTGACTCTGAGGTGACAACGGGGCAGGATGAGACAAGCACGACATCATCGCTCAAGAGAGGAGAGGGACAACGGAGGTGAAGCGAAGCAGAAGGAGACGTAGGAGGCAGGGAAAAGAGATTGATTGAGAGTTGGGGTTAGGGTGGACAGAGGAAAAAAGGGAAATAATTATTAGAAGAGGGTGAGGAGAAGTGGTGACTCAGGGGAAAGAGAGGAGCGAGGTGAAGGCAAGAGAGGGAATGATTGAGGTTAACAAGACAGAAAGACGAATAAAGCAGAAGAGACAATAGAGATTGAGAGAGTAGCTGGCTGTGATGCCCTATTTTGAGTTGTGGCAGTGTGTGAATGTGTTAGAGAGAGAATATGTGTGTGGAACAAAGAGAAAGAGATGGTGAGAAGTGTGTGTGTGTGCTTTTCCTGAGGAGGGCTGGTGGAGGGAAGTGGAGAGGGGACAAATGAGAGCAGAGGGGATTCAGAGATAATCTATGGGAGGGAAAGAGCGAGGTAGCTATCTGCTTAGATCACAGAGCCTGCTGTGCTCTATTGATTCCCCTTCAGCTCTCCTGGTCAGCCCACACTCTGTCCATCTACAGAGACAAAACTCCTCCTGAGCTGAATGCTGCAGCCCACTTTAACATCAAACATGGCTCACTGCGCAGCCCGGAGCCTGAAGTTATCGAGCATCTTAACGCTGCCGATAGCAATCAGTTAGAAATGTTTCCTGTCCCTGCATTTTGTCTCAGCTCACAGGGGTACAATCAGTGACTGCATCATTTAGAGCAAATGTAGATAACAACTGGACACTGGGATTTTTCCAATTACAGAACTTTTAACCCTTTATGAACTGGTGAACTAGCTGAGATCACTGATACAGCTAAACAGGCATTGTGTCCTTGCGATTATGACCGCGGAAATAAGGCGGAATAACTTCATTGCCCACATCAGGTGGGCAAAAACATCACCTTCTTTTACATCACCTCCAGAAATCCAATTATATAAATTTACTTTATTTAATTTTCTTTTTTGTTATTTATAGTTTTTTATATTCATCTTATATTTTTTTTAATTCACACACTTTATTATTTAAATTATGCACTTTATAAACATTAAGAATGCTGTCACATAATATATTTTGTTACATTAAGTTTTATTTTTAATCTGGTTTAAAACAGTTTTGTGCATTTAATTTAGTATTCTGTCTTTTCTTCCTTTTTATCCTGTAAATCACTTTGTAAACACAAGGAAAGGTGTTGAATATGTAAGAATAATAGATCTTTATATACATCTACCTGTCATTTAGGTGTTATTTTTACATTTACAGTATTATTTCTTGCATTTAAATGAGTTTGTCTTTCTTTTTCTTTCTATCTTTCCCTTAAGTTAAGTACTTTGTAAGCATTTTTTTGGAAGTTACCATAATTATTGTACAGCATACTTTAGAATATTGTAGGAGATGTTGAAATATGCACATGTATGTATTTCTCTTACCAATTAATGGTCCTACCTTGTTTGAGCTCCTTGCGGTAGGGAAACCAAAATCTCATCCTCTTACCAAACCTTCTTTCTTAAAACACTTCCTTTAACAGTTCCCTAAAGGTTGAACATATCTTTAAAAAAACAGCAATCACACATAAGAGTGAGTGCTGGCACTAACTGGGATCAGTGCCCGAACACTTTGACTTATTGTGCTGTTCTGACTACTGTGAGAGACTTTGCTGTCCTGAGGGCATAAAACCAGCTTAGAAAGTCACAGGACCAAAGCATGGTTTTGGATTTGGAATCACAAAAATCAAACTCATAAAGGCTCTTTCATGATGGTCTTATCATGTGATCACGGGATGCATTCAAAGGGTTTCTGTGTGTGTCTTAGTCAGTACATTACTCTGAATGTTGCTGAAGACCAATATCTGTACAAAGAAATATATTTCTCTATTATTTCATGAATAAGAACAACCTCAAGAGGTTTGTCCTTGTTGCGTACTGTGTTAAATGTCACTTCTTCCTATTTCTAGAGTTTACAGAGAGGATAACAATGATTTGGACAGGGCTCATTCACAAGTGAGAGAAAACACTTGATGTTGATTTTTAAAAGAGCCTGCAGACTCCTGTTGAATTAGAGAGCAATATATGTGTATGCCCTCTAGCTATCTGTGCTGAGACAGTGCTCGATAATGAAACCTAATGAATTATATCATATTCCAGAGAGCAACGGCACTAATGCTTTAAACATAAACAGTTTGGACTGCAGAGGTAATCACTGACTGTAAGAGTGATTTATAATTCAGAGTTTACATATCTGGTCATTAAATTGCACATAAAGATATTTGTGTAACCAATTAAAAGTGATAATCTGCCATAAAATCATTTTCCAAGAAATCCATGTAAAAGCAATCTGTTACTGTCTCTGTTGCTAGGCAACCACTCTAGCGAAGCCGGTTGCTATGACTTAAACAACACTATCAACTGATCCTGTGGATCAGCCAGACATGGAGCGTGACCTCAAACCTAGCTGTCATGACGAGGCTTCTGCTTCTGTGACCTTTGCCTCTGCGTCTGTGGAGGTCGTTGTCGGGGCTGACCTGGGGTGACAGCAACACCGTTGCCATTGACGATGGGTCTCTCCTCCTCCTCCTCCTCTGGGGGCTCGATGCTGGCTTTTTCCATGTTGCTGACCGACTTGTTACGCTTCCTCTTGCCCTCGGAGGTGGGTCTGGCGCCCGGCAACAGCTGGTCCGTTACATTTAGCAGCAGAGCGCTGGGCTCAGCCGGAGGCTTCGGGGTACCGTAAAAGTTATCTGTAACAAAGAGGAGGAAGAGTGGTGAGACATTTAGACCAAAGTCATTTTTATGTGCCAAATGCTTACATCTCGTATTTTAGAAACGCTAGCTGCATGGCTGAAGGTGTGAAAATGTCTGAATGAAATATCTCAACAACTACTGGATGGATTGTCATGAATGTTTGTACGATGATGAATTCTAATAACTTTGGTGATCCTCTGACTTTTTCTCTAGGACGACCATGAGGTTGACACTCGTGGTTCAGAAGGAAATACCAAGGAACTATTGGATGGATTATTGTGAAATCTGATTCAGAAATTCCTGATCCCCAGAAGAATGAATCTTAATGACTTTGCTGATCCTATGACTTTTTCTGGGGAGTTTTTGTTTTGAGTAACAACTATTGGGTGGGTTGCCATATACAGATATTCAAGGTCCCTAGAGAATTAATTATAATAACTTTGGTCATCCCTACACTTTCCATCTAGTGCCGTTATCAAAATGTAATTTGTCCATTACTTTGGTGCAAAACTAATGACTTTCAGCTACACTTCAACTGTGGTGCTAATCAGCAATACTAGCATACTAACAGGTTGAACTAAAATGCTGAACCTGGTAAATATTATGTGCAAAGGATCAGCATGTTAGCATTGTCACTGTGTGTTAACATGCCTACATGTTTACACATTCAGCTTAAATCACATCTCTGCCAAGGTACACCTTTAAAAAGCTGCCTGCATGGCGAACAAGAACATACAAGATTCCTGAATTAAATAAGCATTTCCATTAAATCTTAATAACAGAAAACATAGCAAAATCGTTACATTCAATGCACATAATGAAAAAATGAAGAGAAGGAGAGTGAAAATATAGCAAAGAGGCCTACAGAGTAAAAAGTAAGGATGAGAGAAGAGGGAGCAGTAGGTCGAAGGATGTTTGTGGCACCACTACACCAGCTACAGGGAGGATGAGGAGTTGTCGAAGCCAGCTGATCCCTGAACACACAAGCTGGGGTATCATGATCACATCATGTCTTACAATATTACAACAGTTATAAGATCTGCACAAAGCAACGCATATTTGCAAACAAAGACACGCTGACATGAACACACCTCGTCGTGAACTAATTTCAGCAATGTTTGGGGATTATTTGTTGTTGTCTTACATCTTCTCATCAGTCACATATTAGACCATGCATGGATTTCCTTGGCATATGACTGAATAATCACGGTAACTCTACGTTTTTGGTGTCTGCCCACTACTAACTGCCCACCGCTGGGAACTGCAGTTTTTCACTTGGCTCTGAGTCAACAGCTCCTTCCAGTCGTCTATGTTGATTTTATATTTTACTGTCCTTCAGTTTGTCTCCTGACAACAGCTCAGTCCCTGCAGCAGTCTCCATCAGTCATTGTTAAAACCTCATAACTTCATGTTTACTTTGAGGGTCACTGTGAAGATTTTCTTTTTGTGGACTATTTTCCTCTAAAGGTCGAAAATGCTGAAAACTACTGGAAAGAGTTGATTTGTTAGATGTCACTTTTCAAAGCTTTAACCAGAACAAAAGAAAATTCCATTCACATGTTTTGAATTGCGGCTACAGCAGAAATCTCAACGGCTCAAAACCTGAGCAAATAAAACCGACTTTATCTGCAGGGGGGTACAAATTGTGTGTGTGTGCGTGTGTG